CCGCCCTAGGAGGGCTCGTGGGGAGCGGCAGTCTTGTGAGGTGCAGCTGGTAGCAAGCTCTACCACCATCCCCGCCCTAGGAGGCTCGTGGGAGCGGCAGTCTTGTGAGGTGCAGCTGGTAGCAAGCTCTACCACCATCCCGCCCTAGGAGGGCTCGTGGGAGCGGCAGTCTTGTGAGGTGCAGCTGGTAGCAAGCTCTTACACCATCCCCGCCTAGGAGGGCTCGTGGGAGCGGCAGTCTTGTGAGGTGCAGCTGGTAGCAGCTCTACCACCATCCCCGCCCTAGGAGGGCTCGTGGGAGCGGCAGTCTTGTGAGGTGCAGCTGGTAGCAGCTCTACCACCATCCCCGCCCTAGGAGGGCTCGTGGGAGCGGCAGTCTTGTGAGGTGCAGCTGGTAGCAAGCTCTACCACCATCCCCGCCCTAGGAGGGCTCATGGGAGCGGCAGTCTTGTGAGGTGCAGCTGGTAGCAGCTCTACCACCATCCCCGCCCTAGGAGGGCTCGTGGGAGCGGCAGTCTTGTGAGGTGCAGCTGGTAGCAAGCTCTACCACCATCCCCGCCCTAGGAGGGCTCGTGGGAGCGGCAGTCTTGTGAGGGTGCAGCTGGTAGCAGCTCTACCACCATCCCCGCCCAAAGGGGGGCTCGTGGGAGCGGCAGTCTTGTGAGGTGCAGCTGGTAGCAAGCTCTACCACCATCCCCGCCCTAGGAGGGCTCGTGGGAGCGGCAGTCTTGTGAGGTGCAGCTGGTAGCAGCTCTACCACCATCCCCTCCCTAGGAGGGCTCGTGGGAGAGGCAGTCTTGTGAGGTGCAGCTGGTAGCAAGCTCTACCACCATCCCCGCCCTAGGAGGGCTCGTGGGAGAGGCAGTCTTGTGAGGTGCAGTGGTAGCAGCTCTACCACCATCCCCGCCCTAGGAGGGCTCGTGGGAGAGGCAGTCTTGTGAGGTGCAGCTGGTAGCAGCTCTACCACCATCCCCGCCCTAGGAGGGCTCGTGGGAGAGGCAGTCTTGTGAGGTGCAGCTGGTAGCAAGCTCTACCATCATCCCGCCCTAGGAGGGCTCGTGGGAGTGGCAGTCTTGTGAGGTGCAGCTGGTAGCAGCTCTACCACCATCCCCGCCCTAGGAGGGCTCGTGGGAGAGGCAGTCTTGTGAGGTGCAGCTGGTAGCAAGCTCTACCATCATCCCCGCCCTAGGGGGGCTCGTGGGAGAGGCAGTCTTGTGAGGTGCAGCTGGTAGCAAGCTCTACCATCATCCCCGCCCTAGGAGGGCTCGTGGGAGTGGCAGTCTTGTGAGGTGCAGCTGGTAGCAGCTCTACCACCATCCCCGCCCTAGGAGGGCTCGTGGGAGAGGCAGTCTTGTGAGGTGCAGCTGGTAGCAAGCTCTACCACCATCCCCGCCCTAGGAGGGCTCGTGGAAGCGGCAGTCTTGTGAGGTGCAGCTGGTAGCAAGCTCTACCACCATCCCGCCCTAGGAGGGCTCGTGGAAGCGGCAGTCTTGTGAGGTGCAGCTGGTAGCAAGCTCTACCACCATCCCCGCCCTAGGAGGGCTCGTGGGAGCGGCAGTCTTGTGAGGTGCAGCTGGTAGCAAGCTCTACCACCATCCCCGCCCTAGGAGGGCTCGTGGGAGCGGCAAGTCTTGTGAGGTGCAGCTTTGGGAGCAAGCTCTACCACCATCCCCGCCCTAGGAGGGCTCGTGGGAGCGGCAGTCTTGTGAGGTGCAGCTGGTAGCAAGCTCTACCACCATCCCCGCCCTAGGAGGGCTCGTGGGAGCGGCAGTCTTGTGAGGTGCAGCTGGTAGCAGCTCTACCACCATCCCCGCCCTAGGAGGGCTCGTGGGAGAGGCAGTCTTGTGAGGTGCAGCTGGTAGCAGCTCTACCACCATCCCCGCCCTAGGAGGGCTCGTGGGAGTGGTGTCCTCTTTTTTCTTATTTATTTACATAATTCCTGAAGACTGGTGTGTGTCGCATCCTGGGACACTGACCTAATTTGCGGAAAATACTTAACATAACAAGCGGCTTTCTATATAGTAGTATGTCACTGATGTCAGCTATGGTCTGGATACCTTGTACATGTACTGGTAGAAAATAAAGATTTATGATTATTATTATTATTATTATTATTATTATTATTATTATTATTATTATTATTATTATTATTATTATTGTTATAGAAAATACTGTATATTTTCCAAAAATGCAGTATATTTTGTATGTAAATTGATGGCATATTTTGTAGGTAATAAAAATTAATTTATAAATAAATAAACAGTGATGGGTGAGCGTCGCTGGGAAAGAGACGCCGTTGTTTGGTACTGGCAAAACGCTCGCTTGTGAAATGTGCATAAATTTCATCGCTCTGGAGGTTAAATTGTGGTTGAAACCTCCCAAATAGCAGCAGAAATTGTTGGAATTGCAGTCCTAAGTTATGTCTGTTTATGTTGAAATTCTGGCCAGTATTTTCTTTATATTTTGGCAGGGGTTTGTGTATGATACACCAGATAATCTCCAGACAAATTGGTGAGTCTTATGGTTATAAATTCTCCTTCTGTTACATAAATGTGTATATGTAATCATTAATTAATTTTAATATACAGTCCACATATTTATATTAATGTTTTACCAGAATTTCTGGTGATGAATATTTTATTTGAAATTAATATAAGTCCAGAGTGACTTGTGGACATGACAGTTGTATCTTATGAATTACATCCACGTAAATTTAATTTTACACAATTATTATTTATTATACTATATTATTATTATTATATATTATTAAATTATTATTATTATTATTTATTATATTATCATATTATATATATTATTATTATTATTATTATTATTATTATTATTATTATTATATTATCATTATCATTATATTATTATTATTATTATTATTATTATTATTATTCATTATTTATTATTATTATTATTATTATTATCATTATTATTATTATTATTATTATTATTATATATTATTATTATTATTATATATCATTATCAATTATTATCATTATATTAATTATCATTATCATTATCATTATCATTATCATATCATTATTATTATTATTATTATTATTATTATTTATCATTATCATTATTATTATTTTATTATTTTATTATTATTATTATTATTAATTTTTCAGCACTCTTAAATGGTTCTTAGAAGAAAGTTGTTGCTGATGTTGTTCTTAATGAACTATGTTGGTACCATTTTGTTCCATATAAACCCGTAATTGTACAGTATTAGTTTGTATTAATGACCAGAGAATATCATCAAAGAGATGGTAGGGGGAACCTTGATGCTGGTAAGAGGATCTTGATCTCATAAACTGGACTCATCCTTCCCTTCCTTGGATCGAATCTGAAGGCCAACCATTCCACAGGCACGACATAACCCCCTACTGATTTAAAGCTTCCACCTGATTAAAATAAGTCATTCTGTACATGTGTCATGAAATGAAATAAATGTGTATTTTTTTTGGGGGGAGGGAGGAGGGGGAGGGGAGGGGGAGGGGGAGGGGAGGGGGAGGGAGGGGGAGGGGGGGGGGGAGGGGGAGGGGGAGGGGGAAGGGGGATGGGGAGGGGGGTGAGGGGGGGGGGGATGGGAGGGGGAGGGGAGGGGGGAGGGGAGGGGGGAGGGGAGGGGGAGGGGGAGGGGGAGGTGGGAGGGGGATAATGGTTGTAGAGTCGCAAATTTTGTTATATTCTGTGATACAGCTGGAGAATATCTCCTCGTATCAGAAATAAGCTTCAATGTTTGACATTACTGGGTTATCCTGGGTTAAATCTATATGGTGTAGGGTTTATGTAACACCTGTATGGCCTCAAGAACACCTGTGTGCCTTCAAGAACACCTGTGTGGCCTCAAGAACATCTGTGTGCCTTCAAGAACACCTGTGTGCCTTCAAGAACACCTGTGTGCTCTCAAGAACATCTGTGTGCCTTCAAGAACGCCTGTGTGCCTTCAAGAACACCTGTGTGCCCTCAAGAACATCTGTGTACCTTCAAGAACGCCTGTGTGCCTTCAAGAACACCTGTGTGTCCTCAAGAACACCTGTGTGGCCTCAAGAACACCTGTGTGCCCTCAAGAACACCTGTGTGCCCTCAAGAACACCTGTGTGCCCTCAAGAACACCTGTATGCCCTCAAGAACACCTGTGTGCTCTCAAGAACACCTGTGTGCCCTCAAGAACACCTGTGTGCCTTCAAGAACACCTGTGTGCCCTCAAGAACGCCTGTGTGCCCTCAAGAACACCTGTGTGCCTTCAAGAACACCTGTGTGACCTCAAGAACACCTGTGTGCCCTCAAGAACACCTGTGTGCCCTCAAGAACACCTGTGTGCCCTCAAGAACACCTGTGTGCCCTCAAGAACATTGTAAGAAAAATATATTTTCTACCCAAATCCTAAACTTGCTTTCTTACATGAATCGTAAACCTTTGTAACCTCTGCATTGTTTTTTTTGGCCTATGTAGCTCCCAGTTTTTTCCTTATATTAAAAACACGACAAAATTTAAATTCTGGTTATTTTGCAATAATATCTGAGCGTCTGATGTGATCGCCATGAACACTTTCCTAGTTGATAACTCACTCTCACATCTGAGTTGCTTCAGTATTGGTACAGTTTAATACGGATTTAGTACGACAGGAGAATCCCTCTTCAGTTTGGCTTCAGAGTTTGTGTTTTTTAACGGGTGTTTTAAATCAGTTTTGGGCTTTGTATGTCCTCATTCTTCTGATTTGCTAAATTAAAAATTAATCTTTATTGGAAACTTATGCAGTATTCCGTATTATTGCTTTTACGAGCACTGAGGCAAAGGAAGCTGAGGTTGTGCAATACGGGAAAATTTATATTGGACTGCACATCAACAATTTATATATATTTTCATGTATGGTTTATTAACTTGCTGGAGACCAACAGTGGACAAAACGTTGTCTTTAGATAAAAGTTTCGCAGCAAATAGCCTTTTATAACACTAAATGAAGTTAATAAGGAACTTGTTTTCAGGCTGAGGTTGAGGCAGCGTTGTCGTGTTACAACACACTAGACAACAATCTCGGTGACTCGCAACACCAACTTCAGATTATCACACATCAAAATAAGGAATACAGGAAGATGTTGGTATGTAGTGATTACTGTATATTGTACCATTTACTTATGTTCGGACCTGAACACGATGTATATTAATAAACCAAACCTCATGAAACAGGATCAATATAGTTTTTATTATTAATACATAGGCAGTTTTCTACCCAGGTTAGGTGACCCGAAAAGGAAAAAACTTGCATCATCAGTCACTTCGTCACTGTTTTGCAGGCACTGTACCTCCCACCTCCAGGATTCAAGTCCGGCTAACAGGTTTCCCCGAATCCCTTCATATTACCGTGATCACACTCCAACAACACGACATCTCATAAAAAAACAGATGTCTCCACTCACACCCACGCACGCTTGCTGGAAGTCTAAGCCCTTTGCACACAAAACCTCCTTTAACCCTTTCCCTTAACTTTTCCTTGGATGACCCCTATGCTGCTTTCCCTCCATTACAGAATTATATGCCCTCCAAGTCATTGTATTCTGTCACTCTCTCTAAATGTCAGAACCACCTCAACAACCCCTCCTCAGCCCTCTGAGGAGGGCTATTCTCCAGACTATGGATAATCTGCATAATATTCACACCACCCATTACTCTCACACATGACATCTCCACTGCCTCCAGCCTTCTCCTTGTTGCAACATTCACCACCCATCCTTCACACCCATATAAGAGCGTTGGTATAACTATACTTTCATACACTCCCCTATTTGCTTTCGTGGATAAGTTCTTTGTCTTAACAGACTCCTCAGTGGACAACTCACTTTTTTTCCCCTAATCAATTTGAATCCATTATTGCGGGTTCTCAATGGAGGGATATCCTCTCTCAATGTACTCGTGTTTTTCATCAGGGGAATGTTGCATCTGTTGCCGAGTCTTTTGCTTTCATAGGGAGTGATTTTCGTGTGAAGGTTTGGTCCCAATCCCTCCAGGACCTTCCAAGTGTATATTATCATGTATCTCCCTCGCCTGCGTTCCAGAGAATATAGATCAAGGACCTTCAACCGTTCCCAGTAGTTTAGGTGCCTTATCGTGCTTGTGTGTGCCGTGAAAGTTCTTTGTACACTCTCCAGGTCCTTGAAGAGGACCGTTAGTGTACAGCAGTATTCCAGCCTAGGGAGTACAAGCGATTCTAAGAGAATCATCATGGGCTTGGCGTCCCTAGTTTTGAAGGTTCTTATTATCCATCCTATCATTTTCCTAGCAGATGAGGTAGATGCATTGTTGAGGTCTTTGAAAGCGAGATCCTCTGACATTATCACTCCCAGGTTCTTCACGCTTCTTTTTCGCTCAATTGTATGGTTAGAATTTGTCGTATACCCTGTCGTATAGCTGATTTTTTTCCTCGTTGAACTAACTTCATATTGTTTTCAGTGGCCCATTCGAAGATTTAGTTGATGTCCGCTTGGAGTCTCGCAGTGTCTTCGATGGAGGTCACTGTCATGGTAATCCGGGTGTTATCCGCAAAGGAAGACACGGAGCTATGGCTTACATCTCTGTCTATGTCAGAAATGAGGATAAGTAATAGAATGGGAGCGAGTACTGTGCCTTGTGGAACAGAGCTTTTCACCGTGGCTGCCTGGGACTATATTCTGTTTACTGTATGCTGTATTATTTATAAAAATGTGATATTTCTTACTATTTACAAGATATTTATCGCCTTGGTGGGAGATATGGGTCTATGTACACAAATTTCCACAGATAATATCTTCGTTTGATAGATCTTTCCACAAAAACAGATTCCCACAAAAACTTAGTACCATAAACTGTTTTTAAATTGAGAGTTCCAATATTCAACAAGGTTTCATGACAAATATCTGCGCATTATACAGAACCAGCAGCAGATTAAAGAAGCGGAACTACTGCAGAAAAACATCACTAACAAGCAGACGATTGAAGCCATGGACAAGGAAGTTCAACGTCTCACACAAGAACTTAGGAACAGTGAAGTCAAAGTTCAGCGTCTCACACAAGAACTAAAGAACTCCCTAGACAATGCTCAGCGTCTCACAGATGAAATGAGGATCAGTGAAGCCAAAGTTGTTCAAGGTCAGGTAAGTCAAGCTTGAACAGTTAGACATTTGATTTACATATGCACACGAGACAACACGGACGTGGTGTTTCGCGGCTCGGTTGGTAGCTGCCTTAGGTGGCGCAGTGATGGAACGTGGTTCGATCCCCTGCACGAATAGAAATGTTGTGCAGGGTTCCTTACTCCTGCTGTCCTTGTTCATCTGGTTGTAAGTAGGTATCTGTGTGATAGCCGACTAGTGTGAGTTGCATACTGGGGGAGAGAATAAAAAGACCCCAATTAAAATAACACAGATTCTCCTTGCTGACCCCCCTGACTTTACTGCATTATTTTGGGTTATTAAACCTCCGGGTTAATATCCCTAACAATAGTTTTCGTCTGCCAGGCTGGTGTGCTCCATGTATTTTATTCAAAAACAAGGGTTCAACCTGGCTGCCAAGGTTAAGTTATGGCATACTTCAGTGTGGGTATCCACTGAAGATTCCAGAGAAGTAACTATTCTGTGTATTGCACTGTTGCACCAGGATCAGTGAATGTGCAGTGTGTGGGACCTGGAGGAGGGGCGGAGGAAGGGGGATGGAGGAGAAGGAGGAGGAAGAGGAGCAGTAAGAGGAAGAAGAGGAAGACGAGGAGGAGAAGGAGGAGTGAAAGCAGAGGAGGCTCATGGCAAGGGAACGTTCAGTGGAGTTAACGTTCAATGGAGTTAAGTTACTTGTGTTCCACTGGGGTGGGAAGGCAGGAAAGAATCAGTATGTTTATTTAGGTACAGGTACACATATGTACTATTACACAAATCTAGGTGACTACATGTTAATACGTGTGTAAATTACCTAAGATGACCTACCCCCCCTCCCCCTCCGCCCTCCCACCCTAAAAAAAGAAAGAAAGAGTAAGGCGAAGTGATTTATTTCCGTTGTGATCCTTGTAATGTCTTACGTGTGTATGAAGACAACTTTCTCCGGTAATGTCGATGAATTATTGTCATGGCTTCCTGTCTGCCACTTCCCCATCCACACAAGCTTCACTTCACCTTCCTCTCCCCCACTTCCCCATCCACACAAGCTTCACTTCACCTTCCTCTCCACCACTTCCCCATGCACATAAGCTTCACTTCACATTCCTCTCCCCCACTTCCCCATGCACACAAGCTTCACTTCACCTTCCTCTCCACCACTTCCCCATCCACACAAGCTTCACTTCACCTTCCTCTCCACCACTTCCCCATCCACACAAGCTTCACTTCACCTTCCTCTCCACCACTTCCCCATCCACACAAGCTTCACTTCACACACCTTAATAAGAACATAAGAATGGAGGAACACTGCAGCAGGCCTACTGATTCAGCTTACATTTCCCCACGCTACGAGCCTACCAATATCACAAATATATTAGGTTGCTAGGGTTTTCTTAGCCAGGAGCGGCATGCTGGTACTCAGCTAGGAGCCACCTACCAGGTGTGCAACAAATACCAGACCTTCAACCTCACAGATGGCGTCATCTGTGCACACAGTAAGCGTCTGGGTAAGTAAGTAAGTAAGTAAGTAAGTAAATTTATTCAGGTATACACAATACAGTTACATAGAATTATCATACATAGCAGCATATGTGTAGAGAACCTAGGATAACCCAAAAAAGTCAGACAGAGTGACTTATTTCCATTGGGGCCCTTTTACCTTATTATTATAATATAAAGGTTATAATATTTTCTTATTATTCTATAATGAAGATAACATCTTATTATCATACTAAAAAGACTATCTACTACACGAGGGTCATTAAGACTATCTACAATACGAGGGTCATTAAGACTATCTACTACCCGAGGGTCATTACGACTATCTACAATACGAGGGTCATTACTAGGGATAAGGTAAAATTTACACGTATTTTAGCTAAAAAATAGAAAATCATTCCCCTCCCTTTCTGTTGCTTCATTCATCAGACACTTTTTGGCAGTCTTCTTGAACTGGTTCATGCTATGACTGGCTTTGACATGTGCGGGCAGTCTGTTCCATTCCTTTATTGCTGTACAATAAAAGGTGTTTGAAGCCTGGCCACTGACTGTGGGTACTACAAAGTTGTGCTCTCTCCCCCTAGTACTATGATTGCTTTGGTTCCCAACCTTGACAAAATTGGCAGCAAGATATTCTGGACACTGTTTGTGAGCAATTTTATAAACATGATTTAGCTTCAGTTGTTTTACTCTGTCTTCAACATTCAGCATATCCAACTGCTGTAATTCATCCTGGCCTACATGTTTTCTTGGTCCCAGCCCCAGGATGAATCTTACGATTTTGTTCTGGGTGATTTGCAGTCTATCTTTCAGTTTTTTTGTCAAGGCAGAGTACCAATAAGAGCAAACGTAATCCATATGGCATTGTATAAGGGCTAGACATAGGGTCCTGCGAGCCTCAGTAGGTAGACACTGTGCTTGTCTATACAGGAACTTCAGCCTGGCATTCGCTTTCTTTACTACACTGTTCCCTATCAATTCTCCTGACATGATGGGTCAAAGGGGATTCCCAGATATTTAACTGATGAAACCAAAGTGATGGACTCCCCATTACACTGAACATTAAAATTATTTACCCTTCTCAGTTTATGTTTCGTTCCAAAGAGAATGGCTTCAGTTTTCCCTAGGTGTAATGATAGTTTGTTGTCTACTAACCATTTGCTGCAGGACTCCAGTTCCAGTGTTAAAACATTAGCAATATCTTGTGGGTCTTTACCTGTCACTAACAGAGCACTGTCATCTGCATACAGTAGGAGTTTGCACTTGACACTGATAGGCATATCATTGACATAACATAAGAATAGTAAGGGACCCAAAATACTACCTTGGGGAACTCCACATGTTATCGGCAGGGGTTCTGATTCCGTTTTGTTGATTTTGACTATTTGTCTCCTGTTGCTAAGGTAGGACTTAAACCAGTCTACAGAACCTATACCGATAGCTTGAAGTTTCTTACATAATATATTGTGGTTGACAGTATCGAAGGCCTTTTGCAGGTCTAAGGTTACCATACCTATGAGGTTCCCTTTTGACATTTCAGTTCTCAGGTAATCCATCAGATTAATAAGGGAGGTATCGGTTGAGTTGGATCTTCTAAAGCCCGATTGATAGCTATGGAGAATGCTGTTGTCATTAAGGTACTTAACTACTTGAGAATACACCGCCCTCTCCAGAATTTTAGATATTATACTGAGTATACTAACAGGTCTATAGTTGCTTACATCAGACCTATTATTTTTCTTGAAGATAGGGGTAACTCTGGCCTCCTTGAACCCCTCCGGTACGGTATTAGTGGTGATTGATAGATTTATTATGTGAGCAATAGGGATTGACAGTTCAGAAGCACCATCTTTTAGGAACTTAGACGGGATGTTATCTGGGCCTGTGCTCTTAGTTGGGTTTAACCTGCTTAGTTCTTTTTGAATAAAGTCATGAGATACACTTACTAGTTGACAACTGTTTGGGGTTACCCCTTTACTGGTATAGTATGTTTGAAACTTATCAGAGTCTGGGTTGTTGCATGTCTCCAACTGGGAACATTAACAGGTCCCTTCTAACAGACAGAACAGACATCCGTCCATACTTAATCGCAACAGAGAACTTGACAACTGTTATTAAATTAAAACCCACCTTCTACCACACTTTTGGCGAATTTACTCACCTCTTGAAGTTAATGATGTCATCAGTTTCTGGATCCTGGCACGGTCTTTGGCAACCTCAGTTGTCTACCGTCTACTGCACGGTTGTCTAACCTGTCTTAGTTTGTGCCCATTAAAACCAAATTTATCCAAGCCTATGTATCTTGTCTCATAACATTTTTGAGAGCAAAAAAAAAAAAAAACAAAAAAAAAATCACAACCAAAATCTATTGAGTCCAAACATTATTGAAGATCTGTTTAACCAAAGTACATTAGTAACAAAAAAAAAGGTAAATAAATTACATAAAGATAAGTTTCCCATTTAGTTACAGTTAACAAAGCAAGTGAATTAGTATTTTCAATAAATAAATAACTAGATAAATAGTTCATTAAGACATCAGGGTTTATATTGTACTCTGGAGCCAAGTGAAGCGAGGAAGAGTTGTTGAGAGTGCCAGGCACCGCATGCCATGGTGACAACGTGCCAGGCACCGCATGCCATGGTGACAACGTGCCAGACACCGCATGCCATGGTGACAACGTGCCAGGCACCGCATGCCATGGTGACAACGTGCCAGGCACCGCATGCCATGGTGACAACGTGCCAGGCACCGCATGCCATGGTAACAACATATGAGAGTGGAAACACCTGCCTCACATAGGTAAGTAGGGTATTAAGTGCTTGGTGTGACAACTCTGAGTTGTGTTCCATCTTGCTCATCAACAATTCCAATAAATTCTGGTGGCGGTAGAGAGCTTCTACCACTGAATTATAACTCAGTTCTATGAAGACACTCTTGGCTCCGTCATCATCAATTATATTTTTCCTTTGTATTTCAAATGGCCTTAGAATCCACGGTTCATGTTGTATACTGCGACTATAACTAGCAAATATTCTTTTCAAATATGACTGATGGTGAATGGTATCACCCGCCATGGAGCTGTATTTACCTGGAGTCTACCTGCAAGGTATACCTGGGATCAACGCCCCCGCGCCCCGGTCCATGATCAGGCCTTCCGATGGATCAAGGCCTGATCAACTAGGTTGTTACTGCTGGCCGCACATAGTCCAACGTACGAACCACAGCCCGGCTGATCCGGCACTAACTTTAGATATCTGTCCAGCTCCCTCCTGAAGACAACCAGGGGTCTACTGTTAATTCCTCTTATGGCTGGTGGGAGGCTGTTGAACAGTCTTGGGCTCCTGACACTTACTGTGTTTTCTCTTAGTGTATTAATGGTGCCCCTACTTTTCATTGTGGGTATGTTGCATCGCCTGCAAAGCCTTTTACTTTCGTAATGAGTGATTTCTGTGTACAGTATAGGGACCAGTCCCTCTGGTGTCAATTATGATGTATCTCTCTCGCCTGC